TTGTTTGTTAGTACCAGTATATGGGAATAAAGTTGCAGCTATTCCTTGATTACTGCATGTCGTGCTGAATAGGGGCTCAACGCTACTTTTAATATGCAAATAAGTTGTAACACTAGCTATTTGTGACTTGCTTTATGTCTTCATAATTATATAGACACCACAACCTTTATTACTGTTGGCACATATTAGCCATCTTTGACATATTACCAGTACATAAGAATTGGCTTCTTCTACACTGTATTTTTGGCATTTATACTGCAAAATCATTGCAAACGTTGACATCTTGGCATCTAGAAAAGTAGCGTATGATACAGGTGCACTCTTCTGAAATACGTACCAAGCAGCCTTTTGTACTGTCATGTTTCAGTGTTTTTCTGTATACTTCTGATATACAAACTAAGCAAGTCTTCTGTATTGTTACATTTACATACCGAGCAGCCTTTTGTACTGCCATGTTTACATACTGAGCAGCCAATTAATACTGTTACGTTTACATACCGAGCAGCCTTTTGTACCGTTACATTTACATACCGAGCAGCCTTTTGTACTGTTTCGTTTCCAGTGCTTCTTGTTGTTTTTGGTTTCTGTACTTGATACCAGGTTGGCATATTTGGTCACTTTTGGATTCAGTGCCAGTAAATTCTAAAATTTAAAAATTCACATATCTTTAATAAAATAATGGTATGATTAATCAAAATGCTATATGTCTATATTCCAAATGATAGTTCCTATAAAATATCTAATTCATAAATACACAACCATGTACACTGATTGACTGAAAATAATAGTACACTGTAAATGTATCATATTTAGCATATATAATATTTGGCGGAAATTGATTTTTGAACATGTTAGCATAGATTTGAAAAAGCACATTTCTTAATGTTCTTATTTATGTTTATATGTGCAAGACATTTAGTGCTATACTTCAATCACTGGAAGCTGCTTTCTGCCAAATGCACTAAAAAGAATACACAGCCAAATGTAATACATTTACAGTATGCAATAGACTGAACAGAAAAATACATGTAAATCAACCCAATCTTGTTATTTGGTGAGGGAAAGCAGGCAAGATAAATATAAAGATGATTCCAAATCAAAGGCTGAATCCCCATCACCTATGACCTGAATGTGTGTACAAATAAAAATACCAGGCTCTCTGAACTATATTTGAAATAATGACCACATTAGGATACCTCCTTTTTAATGTGTCAAAATTTGTCCTTCACTCATGAAAAGGACTAGTGTTTTGGTGTAATCTAAACATGCAATACCAAGATTTAAACTGTGGAAATTAATTATGTCATGTCTAAATGGGAAAGGAACCAAAGATAAATTCTGGTTTATTTGCCCATGCAGGCAAGTTTCAAGGTTTTTTTTTCTTTGCTAAGTATCTAATCTTTTAACATTTTAACCAATTGTAAATTGATTGCATTGACAATGAGAACAGTAAAATGTTTCACATTCAAAATGTATAGTTAAAAATTTCCTTTACATTAAATTCATCTCATTTTGTATTGCAGAAGCAGCTTATAATGAATTTATGATACAAGAAAATTACCTATCAACATGATCTATATCATTAAAAATATTTTTTATACTCAAAAATACTCTAGTATATCAAAATGAAAAAAAAATATGCATCCAATATTATAATGTAGAATGATTAAGTTTACATATTGAACTTAAATGAACTTTCAAATGTGATAAAATCAAACAGGTGCATAAATAGAAAACTATAAGAATAATATGAATGATAATATCTATATAAAAAGAGGCCCATGGGCCACAACACTCACCTGAGTCAATATGGCACAGCTGTTTTTCATCAGCAGATTTTTTTTTCTATTACAGTGTATATATTCCTAATATGTAAAACTTTGATCCTTGTTGTGGCCACACCCTACCCCCATGGATCATGTTTTGAACAAATTTAAACCACTATCTGTGGATGCTTCCATATTCATATGAATAATCATGGCTTTGCAACAGTGATTTCCTGAAGGACAGCCTCTACATAATGAAATGGATATAAAATTCCAGGTTCATATAGCCAAGAGTGTTTTACCACAGAATGCCCAGAGATTTTGCATAAAATCTAAATATTCAGACAATAACAAATTCTGAATTTTAAAAAACATATTTGAACAATCAAATGATTTTTCTTGTGAATTTACAAGGATGTCATGCTTATTAGAACAAGATGCCCATGGGCCACAATACTCACCTGAGTCAATATGGCCCTGTTCGTAATCAGCAGATTTTTTTCATATATATTCCATGTAAAACTTTGATCCCCCATTGTGGCCCCCTCCCCCCGGGGTCATGATTTCAACAAACTTGAATCTACACTACCTGAGGATAAGTTTCAACTTTTTTGGCCCAATGGTTCTGGAGAAGAACATTTTTTAAAAGATGCCACCAAATTTTCACTATTTCAATGTAATGTGATGTCACAATGATTCATGATTCAGTGTTTCCACTAATTTTGAAAACCAAGGGTCATTATGACCCTTTGAAGTTAATTTTTGGGAGTCTAGGAGAATTTTAATTTTTGAGGGTCAAAATACATTCTGGTTTTGCTTTCAGTTCTTGTATTAGATATGCTTATACTTACATCATAATTTGATGTTTAAAAAATGAATGATAATATTATTGTACTTGTTCATTTATTGATACATTTTACCAATTCCGCCATTTGGTTTTCTCGGAATGCACATCAATCAAGATCAAGGCAACATCTGAAAGTTGTTTGAACATATTGCAAAACATTGGCCTTTTTAACAAAGCCAAACTGAAATAATATGCAGATATTTTTTATTTGGACTTTCAGTTTTGTTGTTCTTGAGAAGATTGTTTCTATTTATTCCTATGCAAAACTTTGATTGTCCATTGTGGCCTCGCCCTACCCTGGGGGTCATGATTTGAATAAATTTCAATCTACACTGAGGAAGCTTCCATATCAATCATGCCTTTGCTATTCATGAGAGGAAGATTTTTAACGACTGTTTCCTGCAAATATTCCTATGAAAACTTTGCCACTGTGGCACTTTGATCGTCCATTGTGCCCCCCTACCCCCCCCCCCCTTTCCTTGGGCATGATTTAAACAAACATGATACTTCCTTTGTAATGAAGCTTTCAATTATTCAATTCTTCTAGCCCAGTGGTTCTTGAGAAGAAGATTTTTTAAAGATTTTTCCTCTATATTCCTACAGAAAAATTTGATTGTCTATTGTGGGCCCACCCTACCCCCAGAAGTTATGATTTGAACAAACTTGCATCTACAATATGTAATGAAGCTTTCACATAAGTTTCAACTTTTCTAGCCATGTGGTTCTTAAGATTTTTTAAAGACAACATTAAATTTTCAGTAATTCTTAATTATCTCCCCATAGAAGAAGGCATGGTCCTTCATTTGAACAAACTTGAATCCCCTTCACCCAAGAATATTCTGTGCCAAGTACTGATATTGGCCTAATAGTTTTGGAGAAGCAAATGAAAATGTGAAAAGTTTACGACACTGGCTACAGACAAATTTTGATCAGAAAAGGTACGCTGAGCATTGGGCTCAGGTGATCTAAAAAATGAGTGCAATGAAGTAAGATAATTGGCTTAAGTTTATTATTCCACAGTTAAAAACCCAAGTTAATCAATGACCAGGTATGGTTTAGATAACACAACTGCTCCAATAAAAAAAATTTTTTTTTTAATGCTGGACTAAATTTTTGTCATCTATACTACTATATTAAAATTATAGACTCGAATTTTTGGCCTTTAATACCGATAAATCGGAAGAGTACTGTCTTTTGTTTTATATATTTTAAACATCATTGGTACTTGAAGATTACCAATTTATTTTTATTTTTTCTCAATTAAGCTTCGCTAATTAATAATCAACGAAAATTCCACAAAAAATTCCGGAAATCATCTGGATTTTTTTGATTTTACAATCTTGCACGTGCACATTACATTCACGCTAAATCACGGTGTTCAAATCAGAGAAGACATAAGTACTAAGTAGATATATATTTGTTATTTTATAATTTCTCTAATAAGAAATCATAAATATATATGAACAGAATATATAGCAAATTTCCAATGAAAATTTACACATATTTGTATTATCGTTTCTGAGTTTATCCATGCAGATGTGATATTGTTTCCACATGGGTAATCATTTGCCATCTTGGAGACACATTTATTATATGTTATTTATGTCTCTGGCCATCTCAAAGGGAGGCAAAAAGCTCATGATCGTAGGAGCAATATTAATGTAACTACCTGATTTTTTTAATCCTTCCTTTCTTTTATGCTTTTTTGAGGGGAAGGGGGGATGTGTGTTACAACTCCAGCTAGAATCACATCTTACTGAAGTAGGCATTCTTTTCCCGCCAAAAATTACAATAACATTATTTTCATTTCTTAACTTTGAAATAAATTGAAATAATTAAATAACGTCAATATAACCGATATTTTCAATTTGAAATGTGTCTAAATGATTGCAACTTGAATTTGTTCACCATGTTTACTATTACCTTCACTGCTGAGATTTATAACGTGGTAAATATGAAACACAAACTAAGGGCAAAGAAATATTTGATTCCATGCAAAAAATTCACATTATATTTCTTAGGAGAGTGTAGTGAAATTAATAGCATTATTGCAGGCTTATAACTTTGTTATGTAAATACATGTAATGACCTCTGACCCTGGTCTGTCAACAATACGGTAACCCCCCCCCCCCCCCCCCCCCACACCCCCGAGTTATCTGGGGCCCAGGTATAACCAGTCAAATCCTATAGCCATGTTGTCAACAACACGTACCTCCTGTCTTTTATGTATGCCTTTGTGTTAATTGTCCTGCCTGTTTACCCGCGTGTATGACCATGCATATGTACCATGCATTCGTAGCTGTTTTTAAATAATAAAATGCTTTCTTAAGTGGTTCATGTGAGATATGCATGATGCTAGCATAAAAGTAGCATTGCAGAAAAAACATGTAACCGTATTAGCTGATTATGTAATTTTTTCTGCAATGCTTGCACCGTGCATTTCCCATGTGAACCATCAACGAAAGCATTTTATTGTTTATATTTAAATTTATACCAGCGTTAAAACAAGTTGTCTTCTTCAGCAGCCATGACAGTTCTCATGTGATGTAATGACTTTTGATTGAAAACGTTTAATACTGCAGTAGACTTTTTATCACTAAACAGATCAATATATAAATGTTTATGAGGTATGTATTTTATTTTTGTTGCATTATTTACGTATGAAGTAAGAAAAATTCCCATATTCAGTTCAAGATCCGCTCCCAAATTCTCATTGGCTGTCCTAAAATAAAATCGGTCAAGGTCAGTAAACTTTAAAGTCTGAGGTTAACTCCGATTTTACTAAATATTTTGGAAAAATTTATGCTCTGAATAATTACATCAGAAACATTTATATTAAAATGTTTCTTATCACATTGTATGATTTCAATTAAAAAATGTAAATGATATTGTATGATCCAAAAAGAGTTGTAACCCCCCCCCCCCCCCCCCCCCCCCAGGAAAAGGCTTCATTATTACAGGAAGAAGTACTTTCAAGTTCCCACTTTCCTACTTAGGATACCCTTGCTTGGTTTATCTAAGATAATGATAATTTATGTTTCCCATATAGTTTATACTTAGTATAAACATGGGCCACACCACTCACCTGAGCAACTATGGTCAATTACTCTAACCCAAACAGCTTTAACAAATCAAAAATATCTGTACAAATTTAGTTTTTTATATTAAATTTTTGAAACATATTCTAACTTTGAGATTTTTCTCCAAAGATTTTCGAATGTAAAATTTACAGTAAATATTTTCTTCCCCCCTCTCCCATTGTGGTTGTACCCTGTCATGACCCCCTGTGATCATCATCATCAAATTTGAATGTACATTATATGATTTTACATTTCAGAAAACCTCTCTGGTCAAATAGTTTTGGAAAAGAAAGTTCATAAAAAAAATTACCTATAAATACTCCCATGCATACCCCTCCCCCATTGTGGCCCCACCCTACCCCCAGGGGTCATGAAAGGTCATGATAAGATTTAAACAAAATTGAGAATGCTTCCACATAAGTTTCAACATTCCTTGCCAAAAGGTTCTTGAGAAGAAGATTTTTAAAGATTTTCCCTATATTATTACTGTGTAAAATTTCAACCCCCCATTGAGGCCCCACCCTACCCCTGGGATTCATAATTTTAACAATTTAGAATCTACACTATCTGAGGATGCTTCCACATAAGTTTCAACTTTCATGGCCAGATGGTTCTTGAGAAGAAGATTTTTAAAGATTTACCAGAAAAGTTCAATATTTCTTAATTATCTCCCCTTGAAAGACCCATTCTGGCGCTACGCCGTTACGCAACAATTTTGCAAAAAAACAAAAAAAAAAACAAAACAAAACAAAAACAAAAAAAACCCAGAATTTATATTCACATTCATTGTTTATTTCAAAAGTACCTTACAATATTATGTGTCGATGTATCTATTTTGTAAGTGTCCGATATGCACATGGATGCATTGATAACAATGTCAACCCGTGCACGCACGGGTCAAAGTCTAGGAGTTTTAAAGTATTTTCCAGAAATGTGAGTAAATCCTAATTTGGGCTACTAATGATCATCTGCTGAGTGCTGACATAAACAATGGAGTCAGTGCCAGCACATCTGTGTAGATTCAGCCTCCACAACTGGGTTAGCACAATGACCTAGTTTTCTTATTCCACTGTGCAAGGATACAATAGCCTAACTTCATTAAATAGGGGGCTACATAAATAAGTAGGTAAACAAATAAATTATACGCAAAGACATAGCAAGATTACCTCGATATCCGGTATATCTTTGCTGACCATAAAAGATTCCATCCTTTCGGTTTGCACGTTTGCAGTGTTTTTACAATGAGGGGGTCATCAGCATCCAAAGTTCTCATTGGTCCATTTTGTAGGTGCGACCATAAATGGAATCGTCCATGTCAACAATGTGATTTAACATTTTCTTCCAAGGTTTTATATATAAATATATTTTTTGATATTCAAAAGGTATCAAATGAAATGAATACAGAAAAATAATTTCTTTTTAAAGCCATCATTCAGATTTGGACCATTGCGAAGTTCTAATCCGGGAAAGAATCTTCTATCCCTTCCAAATTTTATTTTTATTGTTGCCTAAATCTCGTTCAAGCAAACGTTTAAAACATAGACATGTGGAGTATACATCATCGAAGCTGTTGTTAACATTGAATATAATCTGTTCTATACCAGGAAAGATCGATACGAATACATATTCTCTGCTGCATTAGTGCTTTTTATTGATTATTTAAAATTATTCTTGTTGAAAGTACTCATAGAGTATGTGATCGATCGCTAGTGTTCTGCTGGTGTCATTGCAGGACGAAAGGTGAAACAGCTTAAAAACAGGTGCAATAACTTTATTTTAATTAATTTGTTGTTGTTGTTTACTAGTTATTCTAAGACTGATGTTAGGAGTGTCGTTATTAGTTTAATATGTATTATACGCATTTTTTATTTCATAGGAAAAAAAGTAGATTTAAGGCTGTTTAAAAGATGGACTACTAAAATCTGACTATGTTTTCAATATATGGTTCATTTATTTTAACATAGTATTCTTATACAGGGTTTTAAACTAACTTGTAATCCTTGATAGCCATGTGGGCTACTGAACCTTGCAATTCTGGGGCCCACATCAAAATTTATTCGCCCACAGATTATCACACCTTCTATTGAATATAAAAACAACAACCCCATTTTTCGTTTTTTTATCATGTGCTTCGTGTTTCTTTTCTATCTGTTGTAACATTATGCATGACTTATCTAAATTTGAAGTGGAACTCTTCTGTTTATGAAGATTGATATGATCATTCAATATCATATATAGAGCACATGGCACGTTTTCATTCACAAAAAACAACAGTACTTTTTGGTTTCTTGGGCTCATTGACCCGACGATCCCACATTGTGCCCGACACAATCACTTAGACGCTTTATGTATAAGTACTTCTTACGGGTAATTATAAAGCACTTTACTGATTACGAAATTTTTCAAGAGAAAAATACAAAACATTCGGACAAAATTGAAAAACAAATATTTATTATCGTAAATTTTCTAATCGCCATGCGGGCAACTTGAATGTAATTTTAAGTCGCCCACATGGAACATTAGTCGCAAATTGCGAGTGGGCGACTGTTAATTTCAAACCCTGTTATATGTTATATGATGTATGTTTCAGAGATTTAGCACAAGAAGATAAAAATGACCAAAGATGGAAAATGTGCTGCTACTATTCGTAGGCGCAAAATGAAACATGGACCAGAAGAACTTGACCAGGCTAGAAACACAAATAAACTTAACACCTCCAGCCTCCCTGAAGATGAACAAATATACAATAAGGAAGAAGAGGAGGGATATTTATTTGATGATGAAATACTGGGACCATCAATCATAAAAACAATTATGTCATCTGAGAGAAAGCTTTTCAGTGGTTTGATAGCACTACGAATTGTAAATGCACTTTTTATCCAGACATCATATGTACCAGATGAGTACTGGCAGTCCTTAGAAGTATCACACAATATAGCTTTTGGGTAAATTCTTCTTTTAAATGAAAATGCTTAAAATTTAGATATAAATGTATGCTTTATCACAAGATAAAACAAAACTCATTATAATAAAAGGTTTTTGAATTCTTTCTTGTAGTTATGGATACTTAACATGGGAATGGGTGCATGGTTTACGTGGTTATTTGTATCCATCAATGTTTGCAGCTTTATACAAATTTTTAGCCATATTTGGTCTGGATCACAGACTGCTATTGGTAAGAAATTTTTCTTATCTGACAAAGTCTTACTAAATCACATCTTTTTAAAAAAAAAATTGGAGAAGCTGAAGGTATCAAATTTCAAAACTTTATCAATTAAGCCTTTTACATTAACTATATAATATTTTTTTTAGATAAAATTACCAAGAGTCCTACAGGGTATTTTTGCAGCATGGGGTGATTTGTACCTGTATAAACTGAGCTGGAAGCTGGCAGACCGAGCTACAGCTCAGTGGACATTATTCTGTCAGATAACCTCCTGGTTTACGCTTTACTGCTGTACCAGGACACTCACAAATTCTATGGAATCTGTTTTAGTGACAGTAGCTCTGTATTACTTTCCATGGCCAAATATAAGAAGGTATAAATTATTCATACAATAATCAGCACTTACTGTAATTGTTCAAATGAAATTTTGTTTAAGATTTTAATCCCAAATCATTTTGAATTATGCATTATGTATTCCATTACAATATGAGTACCGGATGGTAATTCACTTGAATTTCTAAATTTATAGGAAAAAACCTGACAATTTATTAGTCAAATGTGTCTGAAATATTGAAATAGATAATATAGTGCTTGTTTTGCCCTAAATTATTGATGTTAAAATCTTAGTGGGACATGTGGGAAGAGGTCCAGCGCCTGGAAGTTTGTGAGTCTGGCTGTCTTGTCTGTGTTGATTAGACCAACTGCTGCTATAACCTGGATCCTTATGTGTTCCTGGCACATACAATTGAATGCTTCTAAACTGTGGAAGACAATCAAGGTTTATGTCCAGTACGGGTAAGTATCCAGGGTAGTACACTAAAATCATATTGTACTCAAAGAGATGGTAATGTGATCCCAACCTTGATGTTATTCAAGAATATTTTTTTATTGAAGATTTGCATGTAAATATTTTTTTTACATTTCGAAATGGTGAGATTAACATTTACTTTTAAAACTTACTTTAGGTGAAATCTTACTATTTTTATAGTTAAATAAGCGATATCATATCATCTGACTTTAAATTTATTTCATTACAAATGTAAGTACTCTCTGCCAAAAATATATTCATAGTTTGCAGTAGAATTTATATATGGATACTTTTATATCCCACAGATCAGTCCTTCTACTAATTAGTATACTGGTAGACAGGATTTTCTATGGGGAGTGGATTTTAGTTCAGTACAATTTTCTGGAATTCAATGTACTCCATGGTGGGTCAGCGTTCTATGGCAGCCATCCTTGGCACTGGTATATCACACAGGGCTATCCTGTTGTCATGGCAACACATCTTATACCATTTTTGATTGGTGGATGGTACTCCAAACACAAAGTACTGCTGATGTTGATCATATGGAATATATTTATTTACAGGTAAAAATAGGGGGACTATTAGAATTGGAGTTGGAATTGTTTTATGTCAAATATCATCTGGTGCAGAGTTTCATCTAAGTTGATATCAGATTTATAAGTATAGAATTTTTGTAGAGTCACTGTTGCTATTTTTTTGTAAATCATTGCATCACTAGTACTTGTATTAATTAAGGTTAGCTTTTATTTTAGTTTCCTAGCCCACAAGGAATTCAGATTTATACTACAAATTCTACCCATATCTATGCATTACTGTGGTGTCTTTTTTCAAACCTTGTGCAAGAAACCATATCTAAAGAAAAAGAAACACAAGACTGCAAAGACCTCTGAGAGCAACCAAAAAACGGGCAGCAAAGCAGGCACGGAGCATGAACAAAATCAGACTTCAGCAGATTCTGTGGAATCTATATTGGAAAATACAACGCAGTCAGAAAATATTGAGACTCGAGACATTCTTGGGAATGTAGAAAGTACAACAAAATTTCCAGTCAGTGCAGAAAATGCAAGTGCTAGTGCACAGGTTGTACAGGAAATGACTCACAAAAGCAACCTGCTGAAAGCCTGGATCCTTGTGATGGTGTTTCTTGTAGTTAATATTCCAGCTACTGTTTACTTTGGTCTCATTCACCAGAGGGGGACAGTTGTTGTCATGAAATTTCTGTATGATGAGAGCTTTGAAAAAAATATGGATGTTTTGTTTCTCATGCCATGTCACTCCACACCTTATTACAGGTAAAAATATGGAAACATTGTAAGACTTATTGGTACATGTTAGCACACGAGGATTTATAAATAATGAGAAGAACTAATTTTGCTACATTTATTTGTATTTACACATGTACATGTATGTAGAAATTGGTCCTTTTCTTGAAAAAGGACCCTAATAATTTGTGGTAAAAATAGGATTTTTTTTTTCAGTTAACCACTGTTCAAGATAATAAAAAGACCCATAAAAGTATATGCTAGCTTTAAGTATGCATATAGTCGAATTTTATGATTATCTAACATGTATATTTTATCAAATATTTACAGTTATCTACATAGAAACATCTCTATGAGGTTCCTGACCTGTGAACCAAACCTCTCCAAGAAGGAACACTATATAGATGAGGCTGCTGATTTTTACAACGATCCTCTACACTGGCTAAAGAAAGAGTACCACTTTCAGAGGAAATCCCCACCTAGTCATATTGTATACTTTGATAGATTGAAGTCTGAGATTTCAGAGTTTCTGACTCAGACAGGGTACAATCACTGTGGGACTTTTTTCCACACACATCTCCCTGAGGGGAGGGTAGGACACAATGTGCTTGTTAGCTGTAGGTGATATATACAATGTTACCGGTATATTCAAATTATTTTGTGATATTTTTTTAGAAAGAATTTTTTTCCTATTTTTATTTTTTAATATTTATCAGTGATGTTAGATGAAAAGAAGTTTTAAGTTATGTAACACATAAAAAATCTGCGTGTCAATTTTTTTAACATTGAAAAAAAATACTTAAAATTTGATCATTTCTTAACTTATCATGACTCGGTTATTATGTATATCACATGTTAACTATCCTATATAACCGTGAATCATATTTTTAATTTCTTTGTTCTGTCATTAAGCAAATTAAACTGGCAAGTACACACACATGTATTCAATGGACAAAATATATACATGCACCTTTTATTTACATTATAGTAAGAGCAAGATAGAAGTTATTAATGCAGAACCAAGTGAAAGGAGGAAAATGAATAATATTTTTAATTTTAAAAATAAGAACATCAAGAAATGTATACTTCATTGTATATTGTGTGGTAATGAAATAACATAAAAATGTGTCATGTAAGAAGATTTTACGTAGAGATAGGAAGTAAAAATTGGATTTAAGAGCAATCTGAATTGATTTTATTAAAGATTTATTTTATGTCATTTGATTTTATTAAAAGATTTTTTTTTTATGTTATAAGTATCATGTTTGAAATGTGTGATGCATTAAAACTTAATATTTTTTCCCCCAGAATGATGTGGACAAAACAATTATAATTAAAATGTATTTTTTAGGGATGTCAACTAGTACCCGGTTAACCGGGTACTCGATCGAACGTCCGAGTATCGAATACTAAAAATGGTACTCGGTTACTCGGATGTGTATTTTTTCTTATTTCAAAGTACTTATATTTATCAAAAACTTATCAAAAACTAACTTAAATATGCATACGGTCATTATAGCGTGTAGTCTTCGACACCTCTAAAACATCCATTATCTCCTGTGGCTGTGTATATACAGTAATTAGTGACCCAGCTGTTCTCACCTATTGTGGTCCTTAATTTTTGGATGGCTTCAGTGATTGTTTTCAGTGATTATCGATGGTCTATTATCTTCAAATCATTTTTAAATTATTTAGTTAATATACGCAGCGAAATCGGACATGCATAGAAATGCCGCTACCCACTTCAAAAGTGAAGAAATATTTAGAAATAACTAAATATTTAAAAAAAAATGTTGAAAGTTAGCGTAGTAAGTTTAGTGTATACGGGAGAAGCAATCAATATATGAAATTGTTTCCCCTTATACACTAAACTTACTATAATATTAGACTAAACTTACTATAATATTAGACTAGCGATCCCAACAACGTCCGTTGCTTCTCTTTCGCTAGTCTAATCATCACAAACCTGCGTAACAGAGTGTCCTCCTTTTGATGAAATATAGATTCTAAACTAGAACTGTAAACCATTTGTAATTTTTGAACTAATAATTATGTTTTTTTGTGTTTATTTGATAAATAAATTTAGTGCCAAAAATCATTTACGTTGGAATCGGTGTTTATATAGTACATTTATAAACGTGATAAAAACAGCCTTGGGGTTTAATGGGGTTTAAGAAAATTAACACACTTATATTTACACTTTTACCGAGTACCCGGGTACTCGATCGGAAAAACGTCCGAGTAACCGATTATCAAAAATTGACCGATTTGACATCCCTAGTATTTTTAAAAATCCCTTTAATTTATTATGTGGCAGTGTCAAGTACATGTATGTGAGACACATGGTTTTTTTGGTTGCAGGAATTGTTGATGATAGCTCCATGGTGAATGAACTTCATTCAATGAAGCATATGTTGAATTTACTGATTTTTATGATCTTTTATAATATATAATCTGTCATCTAACTTGATGTAAGTGATATAAGAAAGGAATACAAATGAAGAAATCCAATCCCAATGAATCATTATTTGTAGTATTTTAAATGATGCTTTTTACTTCAAAATATATCAATTTAGGAATTGATTTTTGTGAAATTTATATATAGATGAAATTTTATAATATGTTTAAGATGTTGCAATTTAATTAGCTATGAAGATATGAATACATGCTATAATGAGAGATTTGAGTTGTGTATATTTTACTCTGTTTTTGTATACATGCATATACATGTGTATGTAAACTGATGACAAACAAGATGTAAATTGATAGTTTTTTCTAAAAATTGTGTGATTAGCAAGGTTTTGGAGATATTTTGTGGTAACATTCAAAGAATTTTAACAACAAAAGACCTGACATGCTACTAGGCCTTCTTATAGCTCTTCTATTGATGTGAGATCATGCAGCACATTTTGTGGAACTTTCAATTTATCAGTCAAATCTTGTGCATTATTTAACTTTAAATGATAATCTGTCAGGTAACACTCAATACACATCATGTTGTGAGATGATATACAGCATTGGTTGGATGGAGGATTATAATATATCTGCATGAGGATGTTCTATTTAGAGTTTTTTTGTTGATATTTGCCATTTTCATCCTCCTCTCATTTCTGAAATACATGTATTAAAATTTGAGCTGATATGAAAATTTAAGATGAATAAGGATTCTAAATGGTGGATGGAATGGTAAATATAAACACATACTTTATTTTTTGCAGCACTGTCTCTATCCTATCTTAACATGTAGAACCATTTCTACAAAAAATTTTATACAGAACAAAGTTCAGAATCTCAGGATGTGATGTAGATATGTAGACATGCAAAAAGATGTGGATAAATATATGTACCGGTATATATTAAATTATTTTGGCAGCCATTTTCTGTGATCACAAAAACCCCCACTGCACATCAATACCACTTATAATTGTGCAATATATCTGTTTGATACTTATAGTTTTGCATGAATAAAACACTGTAAAATCTTTAACATGTATTTCTTATTTTTGCTCAACTAAATTGAACTTCTAAGGAGGAAATTTTATTAAGTATGTTCTCCGGTGTAAACTTTACATACTCCAGAAACAAGTTGCGAATTTCAAGAAACTTTCTTAAAAAAATCAACTGAGGATTTTTTATGTTTGTAACATTTTTTTCTTCAGTCTGTTAATGTTTGTTAGGAAGTTGAACAGTTGGGAAGATGAGAGAAATGCACCAATATTTTGCAGATATGAAAACAAAGGAAAAATCAGAGAGATCTTCGACCATTTTCTCGTGCTTTTGAATTTAGATCTTACTGTACTGTTTTAGAGATTTTATTAGATAAGACACAGAAACACTACTCTAAGGGTTCTATAGGAGTGTCTGTTCATTTTGGTAAAATTTGTTTATTTCATTGAAACAATTGGAAATCAAAAGAGTTCATGACATCTAGTATTAATTTTAATTTCTGATGCCAGACAAAGTTACTGAGAGAATTTTTATTTTATTAGAAAAATTGTATAAAATCAGGAATAGGAAACATTTCATAGTACATTTTATACACTCAAATATTCTTCACAGTGTATATAAATATATATTTATCATTTGCAAAATGTTTTCCATTCTTTTTTATAAGCTCAACTGAGCCAAAGATTCTAGTGAGCTTTTCTTGTCAAAATTTGTCTGTTGTCTGTCGTTTGTTGTCATCTTCTTCTCCAGAACCACTTGGGCCAATTGCAACTAAACTTGGCACAGAGGGGGATTCAAGTTTGCTCAAATAAAAGGCCCCAGCTGCTTGAAAGGGGAGATAATCAAGAAAAAGCAAATACAGGATGGGTGTCATAAAAAATCTTCTCAAGAACCAATTGGCCAAAATTGATTAGACTATATATTTAAAAAAGCTTCCTGACATAGTGTAGGTCCAAGTTTGTTCAAATCATGGCCCCTGCATGGGGATAGGATGGGATTCCAACAAGGGATCAAAGTTTTACATTGCGATATGTAGCAATTAAATTTCTTTAAAAACAGCAGGACCATATACACTGGTAGTTATATCAATATGCAAGCATCCCCAGGTAGTGCAAACTGAAGTTTGTTCAAATCATGGCCCCTGGTGGTAGGATGGGCTTACAATAGGGGATAAAAATTTTACATTGGCATGAACAAGAATTCAAAATTAAAATAAAATCATGTTCTCAAGAACAGTAGGACCATGATTAGTGAATTAATAGGCAAGCATCCCCAGGTATTGCAGATTCAAGTTTGTTCAAATTATGGCCCTCTGGAGTAGGATGGGGCCTTGATAGGGGATCAGAATTTTTTATGAGAATATATATGTTTAAAAATCTTCCTCTCAAGTATAGCAGGACCTTGTTTATTGAAATTAATATGCAAACATCCTTAGGTTGTGCAAATTCCAGTTAGTTCAAAACATGACCCCTGGGGATGACCCCTAGGGTGGGTCCAAACCTTCCTTTTACCACAATAGGACCAAGATTAGTGAATTTAATATGCAAACATTGTCAGGCAAAAAAGATACAAGTTTTTGACCCTTGAGGTAGGGTGGAGCCATAAAAAAAAAAAATTCAAAGAAAATGTCTTTTAAAAAAACTTCTTGTAAAGAACATCATGGTCATGATTATTAGTCATATTAATATGGAAGCATCCCCAGGTAGTGTAGATTCAGTTTGTTCAAATCATGGCCCCTGGGGCTAGGGTTGGCCAATATTCTGAAGAACGTACAGCAGGGACACAGTGATCAGGTAAGCATTGTGGCCCATGAGCATTTTGTTTCATACTTAAAAGACTAAATCCCAAATTTATTAAGTTGACTGCACTAATTCTTTACTGTATATAGCAAAGTGCATGAAATAACTAGTCAAACAGGGTTGCAACATGCAGTAGGAGTTTCAAACTCCCCAACCAAGAGGTACTAAGGAGGGGGAGGGGGGGATTCTGTGTACCTTGTCCAGGTTAGGGAAGAATTTACAGAAAATCTAACAATTTGAAACATAGAAATTCAATCACAACAGCAGTAAAAACACACTGAATTCTCATGTTGTATTTTATTTTCATAAATATAAAAAACATACATAGTCACTTTATTTGATACACAAAACGTATATTAATTTTCTGAGGTTTTCAATTCATTTACAAACAAATATCAATCAGGTAAATAAAAAAAAAAGTATCAGCAGATCTTTTATTTTATTTCTCACTCCTTTTAAGAGTTCATGAACATAAATTGTAATAACTAATTTTTATGTCTACCTGAGGA